TGAAATATCACAACATTGTACTTCTATAGGTCTGAAGCATTATAACAGAAAATTAACTATATATGGTGTGATATTAAAGTTGTAACACAGATGTCAAAATGCAAGGAGGTGTTGTCGTGATCTGGCTGAGCACGTTCCCAGTACAAATGTCATCACAGTCACTGTGCTCCTTTAGAATATTTCAAGACAGCAGCATTTACCAGTGAAAAAATGCCCAAGAAGTATTCAACCCTTCCTCCTGTGCCTGTCAGAGGTGTCACATGTGTGGCTGTGCTCCCACTGTGCTCCCAGGTGGGCCTGGAGAGCTGTGGGGGATGATTTCTATCCAGTACAGCAGCTGGATAATTTGTTTGGTATTAAATCTGGGGGGATTCAATGTTGGGGACAGGGAGAGGCTGAGGCCAGACTCAGACCTGAGTGCAGCTACTTGGTCAAACAGGACTTGGTTGGGAGTCACCTATGGGTGGTATTTACATTTGAATACTAAGAAATTCCCTGTTAGCCTTTTTCTGGGTGAATTAACTCAAAAACCTGCTTCTTAAAGTCCCTTGGAGTGGAGGGGGCCGGGGGAGATGTCCCAGCCTGCTGTGGAACTAGGCTTTGGGGCACTTTCAGACACCTCAAGTTTTTCTGCAGCCCCTCTGCTCTTCAGTGGTAACCACTGGGGGGCAGGGGGGCAAAGGGATGGGGATGGGGGACCCCTGCCCTGAGACCCCCAGGGCCATCTGCATTGGGCTGTTCATGCCAGGATCAGCACTTCCAAATTTAAACACCTCCATGTCTGAGCTGGACTTGGTTGGGGTAGGGTCTGTGCCATCCCTCACCATAAAACTCTTTGTTGACTTTGGTTTTAAGGTCCTCTGCTAATCTTGGTTTATATCCCACTCCTCTCTGCTCCTCTGTTTTCTTATAGCAACCAACCACTAGAGATTTCCCATTCCTTCCTTGCAGTGTACTTGTTGGGAAGGAGGGAGAGAAGGGGAAAACGGGGTGGCTGATGGTTTGTGTGTCAATTATACATCAGAGGCTTTGCTGCTGCTTCAGAAGCTTCTAATAATAATAATTATAATTAGGGCACTGGGAGAGAAATGTGCTGAGATCAGGGAGGAAAGCAGGAAAGCCAGGCCAGAATTAATTAGCCACTTTTATCTAAGAATCTCATAGCATTTAGACATTAATTAATGAATTCGATGGTTAAATGAGCACGATGCTTGGTTTGCACCAGAGTCATGGCCGAGCTCAGACTCAGCACCTCTCGTTGCCCAGCCCTGGGTCCTGCAGGGTGAATGCTGCTGCAGGTGCTTCCCTCTTGCTGCTAAACACAGAGAAATAGTTCTTTTTCTCCTTTTGGTTCTGTCTGTCACTCTGAAAGCACTTAAATCTGGGGTGAGGAGAGCTGGTTAGATATACACTGTTGGGAGCTGTGCAAATCCCCCAGCCCAGGAGATGCACATCCCCTGCACACTGAACACTAATGCCTTACCATAGGGAACAAATGTTTTCTGCTGACCCAGACTCAAACTCAGTGAAATCTCCCACCTCTGGCACTGAGATTATTTCTGGGGCTCCAGCAAAACTGTTTATTTCATGGCAAAATGTTGCCCAAAGGAAAAAAGTGACCCTGGCAGCAGTTTTCCTCTAATCAAAAGGCTCCTGCTGGGCAGTGTGAGAGGGTGACCCAGTGTGGTGGTTAACAAAAAGAAACCTGTTCTCCTCTGCCCCGTGGTTTTCTCAGAGTGGAGGAGCAGTTCAGGGTGCAGAAAGATCTCCCTGGCTGGAGCTCTCCCTGCGGCACCAGCAGCTTAGCTGAGCTTTCACATTTCCCAGTGGTCTGGAGATCTTTCTGTCCCATGAGCCCCTTCCCCACCAGCTGGCCCAGGCCAACTCACTGAGCATTGGTGCCAGGGGAGGCCTCTGCCCAGGGAGCATCTCCAAACCCTGTGGCTGTTTCCAGTACCACATCTCGCCTGGGTTCTGCAGTTCTGCCTCATGAATAGATGAGTTTCTGCCTCCCGGCTCACCTGTGGTATGCCCAGAGTTGGTGAATATTCATTAACTGAAATTAGCATCTCTTAGGTCTTAATTGACTTATAAAAGCCTTGTTTTGTGATAATGAAGTTTATACTGTAGTTTTGCCTGATGGCAGCTGGTGGGTCCCTCTGCCCAAGCCACCAACCCCGAGCTGGGTCTGGCCAGGACACAGGTGGCTGAGTCCCTTCTTCCCCACAGCCCATGGAAGCTGTGGCTGCCCCATCCCTGGAAGCGTTCAAGGCCGGGTTGAAGCAACCTGGTATAGTGGAAGGTATCCCTGCCCAGAGCAGGGGGTTGGAATGAGATGAGCTTTAAGGTCCCTTCCAACCCAAATCATTCTGGGATTGTATGACAGCCATGAAGTTACAGCTGGGAGAAGCATGTCTGTGACCTGAGCATGTGCTGAACATGAGGGCAGACTTACAGACTTTCACTGGATGATCATAGCAATGTCCTGTGCCGCTGCAGGGGCAGATGTTCAGGGGTTGATGATTGATTTGGGCTGTTTGGGCACTTAAGGCGTGTTTTGGACCTCTGTTCCTTGGCTGGGTGAGCGCAGCCCTTTGGGTTTCATGGACTGTCCCTCTGCTGTGGGATGTAGATGTGGTTTGGCTGAATGTCCCTATGAATTGGCTTGGAAGCTGTTAGGAGGGCACGAGAAGTGCCACGCTCAGAGCCAGCGGTGGGAGGTGGGAGGAGGTTACACGGTGCTAATGGGAACTAACCTGAGCAATAACCTTCTCCCTCTCAGCTCATTTTTCACTGTTTCTCAGACTTCATTCAGTTTGGTATGAGGGGTCAGCAGCGAGGGCAACAGGAGCAAGTCACTCTGGTGTTGGGGCTGGCAAGCATCCCCCACGCTGCTGCCACGAGCTTGGTCCTGCTGTTCACCAGGAAGGAAGGAGACAATGTCCAGAGGGAAAACATGTTGGGAAAGAGCTGGTGGCAGCACTGCTGCTTGTCAAATGTGTTTCCTCTGTTAGGATTCACTATTGTCCTTAAATGCACAGAGGCGACATGGGGAAAATCACTGATTTACAGGGGAGAAGAGCAAAAGTGCTCACGGGGGTGAGCAGAAACTGCTGGGATGGAGACTCTCCCTTCCCACACCAACCTGCTCTCCAGGGCTGGCCACAAAAACACTCACTGCTTCCACCTGATTGATTTTGCCTTCCAAGCAGTAGTGGCTGCTTGCTGGAATCACTCACTCTGTGTTTGGGAAGGGCAGAGCTCTGGAGCCAGCCCTCGCAGGGAGCAGCCATCAGAAAAACCCTCACGGAGCTGGAATGTCAGCTGCAATAAGGAGCTGGAATCCACACGGCTCCTGGAAGTGTTCTCAGAGAACACGTGATCAGGGTTTTACACGGGCTCAGTACATGGTGCCTTTGTCCAAGCCCAGCAAATGATAAAAATCTTCAATTTAGCCATTATTGACTGTTTTAAGACAAGATACAGGACAGAATTGAAACAAGTCTGTAAATTAGATGTAGCCCCACAGCTCACAGACCGAGAGACTCCTACATCATTGACAAGCAAGAGGAAGGAGGAGATGAGGAGGCTTGGCGACTTTGTTTTTCTGCCTGTTCCTGTAAATTACGTGCTCTGCGTTCTCAGTTGAGAAAAGATGGAGACACAGAAGAGCAGGGCAGTGACTGTCAGTGGCTTTGTAACCATCATGAGCTCACAGGGCCCTTACTCCAGGCTCTAATCCTTGGGCTCAGGAGCTGCAAGTTGGCCATTTTATTTTTCCTTTTTTCCCCCCATTTTTTGGTGAGGGTCTGTGTCTGGAATGGTGACACCAAACTGTCCCCTCAGCCCGTGGTGTGAGGAGGTTTCCCCGTTGGCCTCACCTCCTGCTGCTCCACTGGAGCCGTGGCAGGGCTGTGACCCTGGCACTGTGTGTCACCTGTCACTGCTGCAAACCCCAGGGCAGTGTTGTGGCTCTGACCAGACCATCCTGTCCCCTGCTCCTTGTCCCGCTGTAAGAGACCCCTCGACCCTGGGGTGTGACTCTGGGGATGGAGCTGCAGTGGGACTCTGGGTCCCAAATGAGACCAGGGGCTGCAGTGCTGCTCTGATGTTGCAAAGCTTAATGATGCTTCTCTTGGTTTGGATAATGTTACTACTCTGCATGAGCTGGGAATGGTAATTCCATTTTAGTGGGAAGATGGATGCTTCCAAATGACATTTATCTCCGTGATGACTGCGGTGTGGTCAGGGAGCAGTTGTTAGCAGTGCCAGCTCTCCCCTTTGTCACGGATTACTGCGGCTGGGCAGGATTCCAGCTGAAAAACAAAAATTCCATCCCTCCACCACATGAATCAGGAAATAGTTACTGTCCTGTGGTTCCATCACTGAGGTCATGCAAATGAGGACTGTGTTTCCTCAAAGCCTCTGGTTTGTGTGTGACCAGGCCCTCGTGTGTGGGGAGACTGCTCAGGGGCAGGTGGGACACCCACAGCATCGGGTTTGGGGAGGGTAAGGGGATGCTGGGGTTTGATGCCCACAAGGACAGAGGCTGGCGATGCTGGCTGCACCATCTGGCAGCCCCAGCTGGCTCAGCAATTGAGCCTCAGAGAAGAAATGGTGTCTGGAGAAATTGGGTGCTCCAGCTGTGGTCCCTCACTCAGGTTAAACATGGATCCTTGAGTGGAGATTTCTCACTGAGAATCTCAGAAAATTTTCAGACCCACATTGGATATTGCAGGGACCTGAGCAGCACATGCCAGTGGAATGGATGGAGGAGTTCCAGGGTTAATAGGAATCAGCTCCTGATTGTGACTGGGTGGAGGGTTTGCTGGCAGTTTGTGGTGACGTTCAGGGAAGTTCCCTGCAAGGGTTCCTGTGGCACTGGCTGCCTGTGTCCATCCCGGCCCCCGTGGTCCCGGCAGGGCTGAGCAGCCTGTCCTGAGTGTGGGTGGGGATCTGGAGCTGTTGGTCACCCCAGGCACTCTCTGTTCCTCTTGCAGGTGAGCCCTCCCGGTGGTCCTCGTCCCACTGCGACTGCTGCTGCAAGAACGGCAAAGGCGACAAGGAGGGAGAGAGCGGCACATCCTGCAACGAGCTGTCGACGTCCAGCTGCGACAGCCAGTCGGAGGCCAGCTCCCCCCAGGAGACCGTCATCTGCGGCCCTGTCACGCGCCAGACCAACATACAGACTCTGGACCGGCCGGCCAAGAAGGGCCCTGTGCAGCTGCTGCAGCAGTCCGAGATCCGCAGGAAGAGCGACCTGCTCCGGACTCTCACCTCTGGCTCCCGGGAGTCCAACTCCAGCAAGAAAAAAGCAGTGAAGGAGAAGCTCTCCATTGAGGAGGAGCTGGAAAAATGTATCCAGGATTTCCTCAAAATCAAAATCCCAGACCGGTTTCCCGAGAGGAAACACCCCTGGCAATCTGAACTGCTGCGGAAGTACCACCTTTAGGCTCAGGGTGGGGAGAGCACATGACCTTGTTACATTAGAGACAGATCCTAAGTGATACAAAAATAATTCCCAATAATAATTATTTGTTAGGTCACCGAAACCAAAATCCATCTCTAGTACTGCCTAATTTGCCTATTTCACCTTAACATTTCTAGTCGTAGGGTAACGATATTTTTTGCAGTCCTGGAAGCACAATGACAAACGCTTTCGTTTGTAAACTCGGAGTCTTACACAAGCTGAAAACCTTAAGGGCACAACCAGACCCATGCCGAGGGATGGTTGCATGCAGCTGCCAGTGCCGTGGGAGCGTGGCCTGGGAACAGGCAGGTCAGGGGGATGTGAGCTCCGTGCCCTCTGTGTCCTCCTCGGAGCACATCTGTTTGGAGGGAGGTGCACACTGCGAAGCCCCGAGCTCTGCCGTGGCAGTTTAAGCATGTGTATATATATATATGTGCATATATATATGTGTGTATATATATCTCTGTGTATATATATATGTATATATATATCTATATATATATATCAATATATATTGCTTAAAGATTTTCTGGCTCTCTCCTCATAACTGCACTTTCTCAGAAGAGCGCATTTTTTAGCCGTCTGTGGATGTTCAGTTTCTTCTCCAGGTCTTTGAGGGCTGAACAGTAGAAGTCCATCTCACTGTCTCTCCCCTGCTCCCTCTCTCTGTCTTTACCCCTTCTCTGAGACACTGTAAATGCGTTTCAGTGGAGACCAGGGTGCAGTCTGTGGTTCTTTGTTACCATCAGCAAATACTCCCATTTGTTTTGGATGATCTTGTCCCTCTGTGTCCTCCCCACACTTCTTGTGTTCCTCAAGGCTCCCCAGTGTCAGTGGGTTAAAGGTGTGCTGATCCCAGCTGGAAAGCTGTAGGGCTGGTTCCACGGCTGTGTGTGGAGTGGCTGTGCTGTTTTTTGTGGATGCCAGGCACAAGTGCCAGGGGTGTCTATCCCAGCTGGCAGGGACAGAGGGCACTGTATCCCATCCGGCACAGAAGCACCCACAGAAATCACCCACCCAACCAGCCCCATGGTGCTCTGTGTGTGGGGATCCACTGTTGGAGGAGAGAGTAGGTGTGTGCCAAGAGAAAGTACAACCCCAGGAGGTACCTGCGTTCCATCCCACAGATCCCATGGTGGGACAGCCAGCAAACTGCACCGTGTGTGCAGTGTCACCCCCGGAGCCATGGGAAAGGCTGGTCCTGCACTGACCCACGGGGAAAGGGTGCAGGTGGGTTTATGGGGTGCAGAAGTTCCAAGGCCAGGTAAGGCCTGAGCATGGCAGCACAGACCAGAGAGCGTCGGGGGGTTGGCAGGTGGCAAAGGCATGGGATCGGCCAAACCGGGAGCAGGGGAGTGCCGGGGGGGCTCAGCTCTGGGGGCTCAGGCTGCCAAGGAGGGAAGCCATGGAGAGTGATGGAAAACTTAATTGCTCCAGCTAGCCTGTGTTGGCCACATCTGGGAACAACCCAGCTGGAGGATTTGGGATAAATTTTTTGTTTTCTAAAGGCACAGAAAGAAGATTTTATATATATATAGAAAAAACTACAGACAATGACAGTGCTGGTAGCACAGAGCACTTGGATTTTGACTAATTTAACATCCTGCAGGTTCGAGGGCTTCCCACCTACTAAATTTCGGAGGTTGCTGTGGGAGATGATGCTGTCCCATCTGCACTGGTTCTCTCTGTGATCCTCATGCAGTTCCAGCAAGATGGAAGCTTGGTTCCTGTGGGGTTCCATCATGCCCAGCTGGGACAGAGGGGTTTGGCAGAGAACTGTGAAGTCTTCACAAGCACACAGGTGTGTTTTGGTGAGGATGCACATTTTACCAGCAACAATAGGAAGCAATACTTGTCCAGAGGGACCCATAAGCATGAGCTGGTTGTGGGGAGGGGGAAACCCTCCCAGCAATACATCTCCAGGTTGTGGCAGAACAGGGTTTGGATGTAGCAGCTGGTCATCACCTCTGTGGAGATTGTACATGAAGAAGGTGCCATTCCTTACAGCTGGCATGCCATGTTGGTACCAAGGATTGGGAATGAGAGGCTCTGGGCTGGGAAATGCTCAGTGAGGAAACTCAGAGTTTCCCAGAATTCTGCTTTAGAACGAGTTCAGGTTTTAGGACATTCCCTCATGCTGGAGTTCAGGCCTGGCTGTTGTGCCACCTTCCACTTACAGGCTCAAAAGGCACATTTTCCCACAGAAACCAATGTTTTGCACAAGATCCACAGATTTGACCCTGCTTAGTTGTGTTGTGGTTAGTTTATAACATTTTTCTTTTCCTGCTAAACATTTCCCACACCTTACCCACCTGCTCTGGCACCAAGCAAGAAAAAATGGAGAACAGCTAGGGCTCTCCTCCAGAATTCCAGCAGGAAAACAGGTCCCCTTGTTCCTTGGCAGCAGACTGGAGCTAAAACCTTGTCCTTTCAATCCAGATCTTTCCAAGTCTCTCTTTAATATCACAAATATTTGGGCTATAAACTGCGTGTGCCAGAGTGGAAGAACAGGCATTGGGTGTGTGTGTGTGTGTTCCCAGGCTGATGTTCCGGGGACACAGGATTGCTCAGTGATTAATAACTGTGGAAAAATTAGACCAAATGAAATGCACCTGAGTGGGCTTGATTTATGTGGCCTTCATGTCTCCAGTTTGAGATGAAATGGTTATTACTCTCTAGTGCTACAGAAATAAAGGTCTTAAACTTCAGTAATCACAAGCAGGCTGAACCTGCTGGGAAACCCAATTTGAGATGGGGCTGGAGGAGGGCAGTGCCCAGACGTGGGGCTCGTGTGTGTGTATGTTTGTGTGTGTTCTGCTGTGCTACTAAGGGGTCTTGTTCTGGTCTAACTACATGTATGGCTGTTTTATGAGTGGCTTGTATAGAGCTGGGGCTGTGCTGCCAGGTTTTGTGCTGCTCACAGTGACTGGTGGGCTGTAGGTGGAACACAGGAGGCCTGGGTGGTGGTGGGGGGCTGTCACTCCTCCCCAACAGAGTCAGAGCTGTGTGGATGCTGCCCAGAGCTCCCCTTCTCTCCATCCTCACTCACTGCTCTCTCTGCACCACCCCTGTTCCATGGCACCCCCTCAAAAAGCCACATTTGGGGCACCTCATTCTGCCACCACTGGGCAGGGGCAGGGGATGGGAGCATCCAGCAATGGTGTGGAAAAACCATGGGCAGGTAGAGACAGGGACCAGGGGAATTAAAAATGGTGCTCCATGGTGGCCCCATAGTTCAGCTGTGTGTGGCAGTGGGTCAGGAAAGAGCAATCAAACCTTCTGCAGACACCAGGATGGCGGCAGGAGGGTGACAGTAACTCTGGAAGACCTGTTCCTAAAAATAGTGCCATGGACATACAGAGACACAAAACTATATATACTTCCATGTAGTTGGATAGATATAATCACACTCCTAGGGATGAAAGGCAGGTGCCAATGCCTTCTTGGAAAGGTTGTTCCCCATCCCCTCAGGGGTGGGCACCTCTCACTGTTCCCAGGGACAGGAAATCCATGCAATAGGTGGGTGTCAAAGTGGTACCTCAAAGCCTATGGCCAACGGGAGGAGGGGAACGTGGCCCATGCTCGGTATGTCCAGAACCTTCCTCCTACCAGGGCTTTTCCCTGAGGCTGTGCTGGGAAATGGGGCCATGAAGGGAAGAATGGAGACAAGGTATTTCAGAGGAAAAAAGGAAACTGGAATAAGATTGCCAGAAAGGCAGATGGGTTTGGGGCTCTAAAGTATATTCTACTCAATTCTACTTTGTTTCAGTGAGAGAACCCATGTCTCTCCCTAGGACAGTTTTGGTAGCAATCCAAAATTAAACTCAGTTCACAGAGTACTTTATTCTTTCTAAAATATCTAGGGGCAAACTGGACTTTGAGCTACTTTTCACACATAACGAAGACCAAGTATAAGTTCTGTTGAAACTAACTGAAAAACTTACATTGACTGAGTCTCCCCTAAAACAACTTTTCTCGAGAAAAATGGGCACTTGTCCCAGTGAGGATGAGTAAGAACATACACATCCATGTACATTGCTTGTGTGGCACAGGTCCAGTCATTTGGGGATGGTGTGGCACAGCCAGTCTGTAAATATCATGGCCTGGTCTTACTTAAGCTTAGCTTAGGGCGCTGGGGAGGGAACGTGGTGAGCAACCCCTGCCCCTATGGGCCATGGGGTGGGTGACACAGCTCCTGTCACAGCCACCCACATCCCACCTGCCCCAGTGCCCATGACAGCTTCCACCTCTCCTGGGCAGAATTCCCAGTTTCCAAGGGTTTTGTTATGTGCCCAAACACCTCGAGACACCTGAGCAGGACTCAGAGCATCAGGGGGAGACACAGGGAGAATGTGTCAGTTTACACAGACCCACAGGGACCAAATTATTTTACCATCTGCACACACTGTCCAGAGGCTTCACAGTGCTCTGGAGAACATTTTGGTGTTTTAATTCTAGTTTGGTGGTCCATTTATTAATTTCATTTTCAAATTGCGGGCTGAAGGAGAAGACAAGGTTGGAGTTTATTGGCAATGGCCATCACGTAACCAAGCCCTTCAGCTGTGTCCCAATCTGTTCTCCCAGTCCTAGGAAGGCTGGAGGAAACTTTCCAGCTCCTTACCCTTCCCAAAGCCCTTCCTACCACGGCGAGTATGGACTTTCAGAGTACTTTATGCACAAGGCCCCATGTGTATCATGGTACAAAATAATTGTCCAGTCTTATGGATAGTTTATGCCCCAACGGGGTTTTGTAGATTAATAGTAAAAGGACAGAAAAAAAAAAAAAAAAGAAAAAGCACTTTTAAATTATTTATATTATAAAAAGACATTCTTTATTTTTCTTGGCATCGATGTCACTTAGCTAAAAAATCCGTTTATAAATAGGATATTGCAGATTTTAAACTATAGCAATGCTAAAGCAAACACAAAAAAGCAGAATTCAGAGTTACACAGACAAAACTTACTGAGGTGAAGCAGGAGGGTGGCAGGGCCCAGCTGGCTGAACGGGTGGGTGTTGGAGTTGAGGGGGATGATGTCCTCCCTGGGGCCCCTTTGTGGTCCCCTCTGGCCATCCCCAGCCCC